ATAAAAACTAGTCTACAAATCAAGAATTAATCAAATTATCGGGTTAAAACTTTGCACGAATGGGCCTTTGAGGTGCGCCATCTTACGATCAAAAATTGTTCAAATCGGATTAAACCTGTTCAAGCCCCCATATATTTTCGAACTTCCGGCTGACTGTATACCCCATATATCGGCCAATATGTCAGTTATCTCAATAAAATTGAGAGATTAAGTATTCCTAGTAAGGATGCATCTTTGAGCTTAAAATGTATTAAATCGGGTGAAAAGTTGCCCTAGATCCGCTTATGGGATAATATGAGAGTTTTCAAACATCTATGGTAATATTGGTGATGGTATGTGAGGTACCTTAATGAGAGCATAGTTTTCTGTTAATAATATGTAGTAATGCCAAAAATAGATAAAATCTACTACCCCTATCTCTCGTATATCTAATATAAGATTTTCAATATTCCGGTATACCATATACTTTGATCAAAACGTAAGTTATCTTATCAAAATTAACTGAACTGAACGCATAATACTGGATTACTATAGATAATAACCTATACAAATAAATTCGGCAATAGTGGAAAATATGTAAAATTGGTCCCAAAGTCCCACATACTACATATGTATAAGGATTCTGTTTTTTCTAACAAGCCTTTTGCCGAATATGTCGGTCAGTATGTGAATTATTTTGTTATAAAATTGCTTGAAAATATGTTCTCGAGCATACCCAAATAATTTTGTGCAATTAGACTAGACCTATATAGTGATTTCCGACTTCTGTCTTTTACCACAATGAGTGGTATTTAAGTGAAATTAAGTGGACAATCTTTCTTTTAAGTAATGTGGTTTAGCGCTTAATATGAATGGAGTTGGAGACTAAGGTCTAAACCTTATATCCTTAAGGTAATGAATTTCGATCCTTTGGTTGACATTTTGCACATCATCTCAATATATTAAATTTAGTTTAACATTAATTTAGTCTATGGCTTATAATATTTGTTAATAAGATATAAGTTTGGTTGTAATCCATCACGATTTCGTCGAACAATAAATGTTGAATTTTTTCACAATATTTTTAAAATAAAGTTTTGCCTGCACCTAAAGATATTTCCTTGTTTTTGATCCCGGCAAATTGCAAGAGCATTAATTGTTCAGTTACACCTGAACTTAGATAGCGCTTCTTTATTTGGTTTTAATTAAATTTCAAACAGATCGAAATCTAGTTTCCTTTTGCCATCAAACAACAACAAAGAAGAAATTATTTCCAAAAATTTCGTCCTTCGGTCAGAGAATGTTATTCTTTTATTTATTAACATTCTCTGGTTTTGTAGCTTACGCGCATTCATTATAAATGAATTTGTTGTCGTTGTAATATGAATATTTAGAAAATATGGCGCGAAATTAAAGCAAGATCTTATTGGCCGATGATAGTGCGTCTGCGATTTTTTTGTCGCCCCAGAGTTTATAATAAAATAAACATTTAATAGGCTATTTTTCCAACTTATGTATGTGCGTTGCGTGAGCAATTGCTTATTGAGCAAAGGATAACAATAAAACGGTGGCTAAGCGGCCACGTTTCCACTTTTTAGTAGGCTGAGGTCGTAAGCGGGAAGGGGTTAAGCACAATCCGAATACGAGCCTATACGTTCGAACCCTTAAACTCATGAAACTAAAATTTTATTTAATTTTTTATTTTATTAATTGGAATCTAAGCATATCTCAATTCAATTACTTTAATAGCATATTTAACTTCCTGAGATAATTATAATATTTCAGGAAAATATGTTCATATGTTTAGGTTTATTGAATATTCCCTTATTATGCGTATTTACACAAATGTGATAATCACACATACATTCTTAAATACACGTACGCTGATGCTTGCTTCTGCTTGTCCCGCACAAACAATGACTTTTGTCTACACTTTTTGCTTTTTGCGAGTTGAACGATCGCAGGCAAGGTGGGTTGGGGCGCACCGCCACATAATTATTTCGGATATATATTTTATTTATCGAATTTAGTTTAAAAACGATTATAGGTATGAATTTATGTGTATTTATATTTTTACGTATATTATTATCATATTACGAAAATAATTCTTAATGCATCAGTATTTTTCAACACAAATTAAGCAACATATTAATATATTATGAGCCCTCACTTGACATGCATATGTGCATGGTGGCAAGCCAACGAAATAACGGCGAGTTCGCGCGGACATTGTGTTGTTGAAAAAAACCAAAGAACGACTTTGTCCACAAACACACATATGTATATACATACATATATGAGATCGCATACATATTGACACCAAATTGTGTGAATCGTGGCGGAGTTGACAAAATTTGTTTGAATCGACAATGTCGGTCGGCTATGTTGTCTCGTTTGTCCTTTTTGCAGTGGGTTGACTTATGCTCTTTTGAAATATTGCGATTACCGATTTTACTGCATTTTCATAGTGTCATTTTTAGATAAAATGGGCTAAATTGAGAAACTATGAAATAATGATAATAAGTAAACATATAAAAGTATTATATGCAGTGTGCTTAGAATATATAGAAGTAGTTAATGATTTCATATACATGTCAATTTTATATAAATTTTTTTATATTAATGCCATATATAGTGCATAATATGAAAAAATATACATAAATATTATTTTAACTCGCTATAGGTCATGTTGCCAATTCTCCTTTCTGAAGGGACAGAATCAGACAAATTCTTCAATTTCTGATTTTTTGCATCGTAGTGAGTAAGCAGCTTGTGGGCAACATACAAATGCGAGGGGGATGGTAGGATTTTCAGTGATACAAATTGTAAAATTGAAATTTTGCTGATTCTTCGATTTTACTTTACGTTGCTTTGAAGCAGACGCACGTTCCTTATGAATTTATTGTCGTTGTAATATGAAATACTTAGAAAATATGCCCCGAGTTCGCTTGATTATTATTGGCCGATGATGGCGTCTACGTTTTTTTGTCACTTGCTCGAATGTTTGATTTTGAGGGACATACATATGTACATATATGCAAATATATTAGGACATGCGAATCAAGGAAGGCAATTTCAAGAATATTCACATATAACATATGAATATTTCAAGCAAGTAAACAACAATAGTTGTTTGAGTTCACAGATTAGACAAACTAGTTCGAATATCGCTGCTTCTATAGCACACTCAATTATTGCAATGAAATATTTTGCCTAAGTTCAAATCCTATCAGACATTTTTATATACTATTTTTTTATTTTTATAACCATTTTTTATTGATTGATATTTTAATTATATTTTCATATTATTTCCCTCATTATTACTGTTTTCTAGTCCGAAGTCAATTACTTTCGTTTTTATTATTTCAATTTTTGTTTATGCGCATACCAAAGAACGTCTGTGGATATGTATGTATATACATTTTGCTTAGACAGTGGTGTAGTTCGTTGCGTAAATTGATAGGATCGTGAAATTTAATTTTCGAGCTTGCGCGTTTTCGATGTTCTCTCATCGTAATAACATTTTAGCAGAGAATGTAAATGAATTTCTCTCATTATTTATATTTTCTTGTCGGAAGTCAATTACTTTCGTTTTTATTATTTTAAATTTTTGTTTATGCGCACATCAAAGAACATCTGTGCATATGTATGTGTATACATTTTGCTTATAGAGTGGTGTAGTTCGTTTCGTACCCTGATAGGTGTGGTGACATTTTATTTTCGAACTTGCGCGTTTTCGATGTTCCTTCATCGTAATTAACATTTTAGTACAGCTAACATTTGCTCCTTCTCTATTCATTTACATTCTCTGAATATACGAATCTGTAAGCGTAAATTTCTTAACATTGAAATTAGCATTATTTTTCTCAATTAACATTGAAATAGCTCAACTCTGCTATTTTTCAGTCCCCTGATGTTCGGTGGTGAAACACGCTCATCGTTTTCAGTACCCCTTCCAAATGTGGTGAAACACGCTCATCTTTTTCAGTTCCCCTGCGAAACGTGAAATATTTTGATAATGGCCGCACTGTGAACCTTCTCTATGATATACGTTCTCTGTTGCTGCTTTGTCAACCGGTGCCGGTGGAAACTGCTTTATCATCATGGTTGTTGGATAAACAAATCTGTTTTACCATACCAGCTAATGACAGAGAACGTATATTATAGAGAAGGCAGAGAACGTATATTCTACGTTCTCTGATTTCACACACAAACTAAACGGGTTATGCTGGAAACAACCACTGACGCAAAGTCGTAGACCGAAACAGCTGATACGACCTATTTTATGAGGGCGCAATTTATTGAACACTCACCACCGCTTCTACCGTCCGCTTCTATAGACCGTACGGTAGGGTGTCCGCGAAAATTGGATTTTTCCCGAAGAATCGAGTAAGCTGATTGCTCTCTAGCAACGCAGTCTCGATATTTTGTAGTAATTAAAAAATAAACTTGAATATATTTGAAAGGTTCTTAAAATAACTCAAAATCACAGTCAGTACATTTATTTATAAATAGGTAGACTATTTTTAATAGTTGGAATTTTTTTTTAGCTTTTACATTATGAAACGTTATAAATAAAAACCTAAATGTCAAATGAAAAAAACAATGGAAGAACTGATTTCTACGTTGCCACTACGGACATAACTTTTGACAAATTCTGTTTGACACGGGCGGTAAGTACGGAAAGGCGGAATGTCAGTGACTGTTTCCAGCATTAGAATAGGAAGCAAAGAACGCAGAGAGCGTAAATAAACATTCACTTGCGGTATAATATACGTTCTCTGACAGTAGTATACGTTAAACGTGCTGTGGTAATGTGATCAGAGAACGTACGTTCTGTGCTTCTACGTTCTGGTGTGACTTCGATAACAGGGTTATGAAAATTCATAATATATATCAAATAATTGGTTACAAAGAATACGATATCGTAAATATATCTATTGTAATTAATCGAATCAGGAATGCTAAGTTATAATAAGCAAATAAAAAATATTTATAAATAAATTTACACTTTCACTCACCTTCCCAAATCCAAAAGACTATCCAGTAGATTCACAGCCCTTTTATCAGTAGAACGATCGGAGGTGTTATGTAGATTTGGATCACCGGGATGAATTAGCAGCACCAAGGCAATGCCGAGCAGCGCGTTCAAGAACGAAGTCGTCACGAAGTACACCAAAGTGCGCAATGCAATTTTACCGTTCATGCGCGCATTTAAACTAGCCGAACCGGCGATCAAACTGGAAATGATGAGCGGTAAAATCATAAGCTTTAAGACGCGCATGAAGAGTTCACCCGGATAAGAAATCAGCATAATGGAATCCTCATGTAAATTCAAGGGCCGCAATGAAAAACCTTTGAAAGAAAAAACAATAGTTTTATTTTTAGTATATGTATATTTATGATATTTATAGGGACTTCATATTAATAGTACAGTATAGTAGTATACAATAATATTATATTAGATTGCCATTTTGTGGATCTGTCTTGATTTAATTAAATATAAAAATCGCGATTAATAATCAGGGGTAGATCGTTTAAGGGTGAAAATTTAGAATTGAATGTATTTATCAATGCTAAATCATAAATGAATCAAAACGAAAAATTTTATCCAAAAATAAGAAAGAAAATTTGTGGACGACCCTTAACGTATTTGCAATGTAGAAAAGGTTCTTCTTTATCCTAAGTAAAAGATTTGATATATCTAACACTGCTACACTTCTAGTGTCAGATTTGCAAAACGTATATAAGCCCGGTTACCCTTGTAGTGATTGCGGGTTTAGTTATTAAAAGTTTAACACTCCTTATATCAATGTTTCAATTCCAGTTTCGGAACTCTTTGGTACCTTTTGAATCCACTTTTAACTGAAAAAAACTTTCATAAAATAGTTTAGGCGTCAAGATGTAACCTTACACCCTTATCACCTTTCATTATTGGATAGTATTAACGGATACTTAGGTGATAAGTTCCTTCAAACAACTAAAAGTAAACCTTGAGCTAAGCAAATGCTTCTCAACTCAAACATAAATGCTTATACTCCTTTTTGTGAGCAGTCCTAATGAGGAACTTATGAGGTATTTCGTTAAGATTTCGTTCAAAAATAAGATGGTCAACTTTAACATAAGGCATTAATTAACTAACAAACCTACCTGCTCGATCTAAAAATAATAGCACTAAAAGGTTATTGAGTCCGAGTAGATCGATGTTCAGATAGTCATAAATCGATTCTCAAATCTAGGTATATGATAATTTTGATATAGCTATGTCCCGATCTCCTAACTTATACACAATAGTTCTATAAATTATTATACTCAAGTTTTGTAATTATAATGTCTATGATTACGAATATGAACAAGGACACCAGAATGGATCTCGACATAGCAAACAGCATGGGTGTGAAAGGCAAATATATGTACATAAATGGATATGCACATATGTATATAAATCACTTTCGTATCACTAAACCTTAGAGAGTAACGAATCGAAAAAGCAAATGATATATCATATTCATATCTCTCTCTCTAAAATAAGGAGACAAATCTTTGAGTTTCTTTCTTGAAGTTAAATCCTAAAATTTATAAGAAGCCTGTGGCTGGATGAGACATAATAATGAGGAAAGGGAACATAGATCCCAGGTTGAATGTCGCAGTACAAACATCACATTTGTATCCATCTTTGATATACTCCTGACTCCATGGTCTCTTGTTTTAAATTATGAGACTGGACAACTTTGAGATTGTATTTTCAAGTAGACTTTTTGATTACATGATTAATGTAACGAGCTGTAAGGAATTCCAAGCAATTGAAATTATTCAGAAAGCTTTAATTATGTTTAGCCTTTTTTATGCAATTTTTTTACACAAAATTAGATGAGCGATATTTAAAAGGGGTCGCATTAAAGTGATGAATAGAAGCAAACATACATACATATTGATATACTTGTACATATACGCCTATGTGAGCATATATATGGTATAAACCATTATGTGGTGCCACTTATGTATGTAGTACGCTTAAGACATGGCCGAGTGACAGTCAGAGCACACGAATGACACTTCGTTCATATAAACTGGGCCAACAAGCTCAAGGTCACATTCGTTCGTTCGCTTTTTCATGCACAAACAAACACATACAAAGACACATTCGCTTATGCAAGTGTTTTGGCATTTTTTCCGTGTTTTGAAAGCAGAAGTGAACTTGACAGCCATTCAAGTGCATTGTTTTGTTGCAGGAAAGCCAGTGAACTGTGAGGAACACCACACAGGACGGCCGATAGCAGATAATTCGGTTAATTGCGAATTACATCGCAACATTGCAGTATGTGGACTATGTCCTCCGCCTGCCAAGGCAGCGTGTTAATCGGCGATGGCAGCCAGCGAAACGAACGAGGGTGTGTATCAATAACGAAGACAAACAACAATAATGCTACTTGTTTTTAACGTTGGCACTCTCATAACGCTAATTAAAATGTGATAACGCTTTTTTATCGCGGTATCATGTCAGAAGGCAAACATGACGCAAGTGTCAGAAGTTTACACCCCAACGCAAAAAAAAATACACATATATGGTGTGGCCATTATACCGATTGAACTTGTGCTGTTATTGTTGAATTCTTTAAGAGGAAGGCGTGCTTTCGGAGGGTAGTAGGTATGGTGCGGTACCTATTTTTGAAACTTGCTGCAGAACTAGTTTGCTATATTCAACAAGAGTTATTTGCAGAAAGAGCACCCATCGAGGTCTTCTTGAAAATGCAGATTCCGAATAGCCTCTATTTCATATCAAAATGTCAATGTATACCTTTTTAAATACTGAAATATACGTTCAGTAAAGCCTGAAAGAGCGAAATTTGTTTCTCCTTTTCTTACTCCCAGAATAAGATGACAAAGAGACAGCAAAGAAGGAAAAGGATCGGGTCCGAAGATCCATTCAAATACGAGCATCAAATCTGATAACAATAATAGTCTTGAAATTCTAAATAGATCAGCCTTTATGAAGGTAAATCCTTTGTCATATACTTTTCAGGTATTCATCACATTTTAGCGATTTAAAATCCAAAAGTTTTCCTTGCTAAAAGAGGCTTTCTGGCTATGTAGGGTGTTAAATTTGCCATCCCATTATTTTTCATTCTAAAGAACCGTCGTATAAGTATATGGTTTTGCTTAGTTTATTGAAACTGATGATTATTAAGAAGAACTTTTAATAAAAATACTCATAACGGATTAAGCTTTCTTATGTATGTATAAACTCGGAATTTGAAGTTGATGAAGTCACAGCTTTTGGAGCTCGCTTGGCAACAACCACGTTTACGACGTCTACCTAATTTCCTTTGCAAAAATTTCAATAATTTTTGAAAAATGTTTTGAACCAATCCGTTACACTAAAGATAGCCTCGGTCAATACTCTGAAGTTATTTGTCCAACATTTTTAGTAAATCAGTTGGAGTAACAAAATTTCAAATATATTCCCCCTGAAAGCCTTTTTCTAAACCTTACCTGTAAATTGCCATAACTAAGCCAAAAGTTAAGATACTACTCTGTAATTTGATACAACGCATCACATTAAGGAGGGGCAACTGCAGTTTGAAAATATTTTAAAAATGAGTGGGGTTCAGCACCCTAATATATTTTATGTAAATAACTTCTAAATTATTCAAGCCATATCACCCAAAGTTGCACAGGACAGTGTGAAAATAGTTGAAATCGGATGATAACCCCGCCCATATAACGGTTTTATTAAAAACTACTAAAAATGCTTCAGAAACATCAAATTTTAGATCCAGGATGATACAAGAAAGCCTTGTAGAAGTCCTTGTCAAAATTGAGCGCTGGGTGTAGCCGCGAACACCCTTAGGTGAAACCTCACATCTACGGACCTACAGGATCAATTTCAACCAAATTCGGAAGATAACATTATCCTGGCATTCTTATATCACAGTGCAAAAATGGACGAAAACAACATTTTGCATAAATTGTGTATTTAAAGTATGGTATCTCAAGTCTCAAAATTATTGAAATCGGACCATAACTGTTCAATCTGTGAAGATGTGGGCTTCAGAGTCTATGGATTTTTGCCGGAAATATCGATCAATGTGTGAGATATATAATTGAAAGGAGAAGAAAACCCTTTCCTGGTATATAATGTCTGTATATTAAAACTGGGTGAAATCAGGTCAATATTTCCCTTAGCCTTCATATACCCAATAGAAAGATTTTCCAAACATCCGGAAGACTTAATACCCCATATATTGGCCAATATGTGCGTTATCAAAATAAAATTGAGCGAACGCGATTTCCTCCTAGGGATGTAGAGCAGGTTCGCCTCCGCGCGGTGCATCCTGGGTAACGCCAAATGACCTGCGGCCTTTACGGCTTTTTTTGAACTCCTGATCTGACCTTTGCTCGACATGGACATAGCCTGGACTATTATATGGATTCGGTTGAACCCTGGGCTGGTGGTAGTGGTATTCTGTCACCTGAGTATGCAGGGGTGATACCCTGCAGAAATGGCTGATGGGCTAATGCCAAGGTCGCCTCCGTCCCGTTAAAACCACGGCAGGCCTCGGAGTACGTTCCTCTCCCGTCATCATTAAGTTGGTGTGGTAGGTGTTTGTTGAGATGACTCCTTCTTGGCGCTGGTCGGCTCTGAACATATTGCCTCATAAGGGCGTGCGTCAACCCTCGCCTTGGCCTCGTAACTGAGACAACCTTGGGACCATAAAAGGCGACTACATTTCCGGGAGGTGGATAGCGGCTCTGAGTGTGGACCCAATAAAAATGAATACGAACAAAATTACCAAGGAAGAGCGGGGAAGCAGGTCGAAACCAACATCTGCTGTAGTGGACGGTTCCCTGGGGGGGACACTTTCATCGAGGGGGACGAAATCGTCCCTGGCTAAGGGTGTGAAGGGCAATCCAGGGGGTGCCTGGCTTAACGTCACTGGGGGCGGTAAGGCAAGGGAGCAGGAGTCTGCCGACGGTAACCTTGGGTAGGGCGGAAGTGCGAGGCGGAATCGCCAGCACTAGCAGAGGAACCTCTGCTAAGTTCATGGGGGTCACGGATCCTCGTCGAACGCTAAGGGCCCGGTGGGGAAGCGCAGGACTGCAGCTAAAAAGCTGAAGTCTGATCGTCGATTGGCTGCCAAGATTTTGGAGCGCTACGGTGGCAAGCAGGCTGATCAGAAATTTGACCAGCATGCTAGCACACTTGAGAGGGCCAAAAGGGTGCTGAGCGACGGGAAAGTGGGGCCGAGCGAGCCCCACACCTCGATAAAGCGGCAGAGATCGCAGGAGGGGGAATACTCCCTCGGCAAAAAACCTCGGGTCGGACCCGCACCGATGTTTAGCGAAATCTCTAA